CATATTACCGGGCAATAACACAGGGACTACACTTCCAGCACTCCACTTTTTGTGGACTACGTTTCCCATAATACCCCAGTGATATGCCTGGTATACTGGACCGTAATTCAGAGCAGTGAGAGTGTGGGGAGGTTATCCTGGCCGGGTGTAATGGGTGCTGGGTCCTCCCTCAGAGCGGCTCTCCCGCTCTCTCTCACCCGGGAAGGAGCACAGGGTGGTTTTGCATACAGTCTCGTTTCCCACCCGCGGGACCAGCCGGAGGCTCAGGATCTGCTGCAGGAGCCCGGCCTCGCCTCCCAGCCCTCCTCCACCGCCGTCCATATCTTCTCCATCCACCGCCCTGCAGGCCGCGGCGCCTCCTCGGGCTGTCCTAACTCTCCTCGGCAGGCCGTCAGCGCTGTCACACGGGGAGCCTCATCAGAAAGCGCTCGGCGAGCGAACGCCAATCACAAGAGAGAAAATGCCACAAGCGGGCGGGACTAGGGAGCGCACCGCGCGACGATTGGTCGCTGCAGACATCTGTCAGCCCGCAGCCAATCACAGCACGTTTCCGGGATCTGGTGACTGATGTTTTGGTCACACGTAGTTCTAAGCAATAGAGACTTAAAGGAACAGGGTTGTATGAACAATCTAGGCTGATTTTAGTTTTAGAACTAGAACTCTTCCCCCCCTTGTGGACAAGTTGTGCATGACTGGTCAGTCTAGCTGTAGCACTTCTCAATGAGCTGCAAGGCAGAGAGCTTGAGACCAGCACTAGGACTGGTTTGACATAGGGGTTCATAGAGCTGCAGATCCAAGCCCACCAAATAAAATAGTCCAATTGATAAAAAAAAATCCTTAAAAAAAAAAATTCAGGAAAAGACATCGAGGTAATATTATGATATTTATAGAGCGCCATCTAATTCCGCAGCACTTTACAATGGGTGGACAAACAGACATGTAGATGTAACCAGACAAGTTGGACACACAGGAACAGAGGGGTGGAGAGCCCTGCTCAATGAGCTTACATGCTAGAGGGAGTGGGGTAAAATGACACAAAAAGGTAAGGATAGTATTAGACTAGTGACAGTTGCAGAAGAGGAATCAGTCAGGAGCTATTAACAGTTTATTTGATACGCTTTTATGAAGAAGTGGGTTTTTAATGATTTTTTTGAAGGAGTGGAGACTGGGTGAGCATCTAACGGAGGAGGGAAGCGACTTCCACCGGAACGGTGCAGCCCTCGAGAAATCTTAAAGGCGAGCATCAGAGGTGGGAGTACGGACAGAAGATTAGACGTAAGTCTTCAGCAGATCGTAAGGGCCTAGACGGGACATACTTGTGTATAAGGGAGGATAGATAGGTGGGAACAGCATTATGAAGAGATATGAAAGCAAGAACCAGAATTTTAAATTGAGCTCTATATTTTATAGGAAGCCAATGTAGGGACTGACAGAAGGGTGAGGCATGGGAGGTGCGGGCAGACAGGAAGATGAGCCTCGCTGCCGCATTCATTATGGACTGTAAAGGCGCAAGTTGGGAGCATGTAAGACCACTGAGAAGGGGATAACAGTAGTCAAAGCGAGAAAGGACAGTGGAATGGACCAACACCTTAGTCACATCTGGCATTAAGTAGGGGCGTATGCGCACAATTTTTTAAAAATGGAAATGACAGGATTTGGCGATAGATTGAACATGAGGCTTTAAGGAGAGGTCGGAGTCAAAGAGAACACCTAGGCAGCGAGCCTGCGTGGTGGAACTGATGGTAGCACCATTGACTTGGAGGGAGACAGACACAGGAGTAACAACACTTGAGGGAGGAAAGACCAGAATTTCAGTTTTGGTCAAGTTTAGTTTAAGGAAGTGGGCAACAATCCAGTTAGAAATAGGTATACACATGTAACGGAGCGCCTGTACCTCCGTTGTAGTTTCATTAGAATCCCGTAGTGAAGCAGTGAATATAGCTCCTGCATGCCTAACCATCAGTCGAGACTTGAAGAGGGGTACAAGAACTGATTTATTCAGCCAAAAGTAATCACATTTATACCCAGACCCCCAGGATGGGTTCTCTATTCAGAAACACTTAAGCCCACCCAGGGCTCTGTGTCTGAGAGATAATTGAGTCTCTGTGTCTGAGAGATAATTGAGTTGATGCTCGGCAAAGTAATTATCTCCTGGATACAGAGAGTGCCTTACCGAAATAACCCCAAAACATACGTAAAACAAGGTATCTGTCATACAGCATTTGAAAAGTCTGATCCAAGCACCAATTCTGTGAAAATAGCGCTCGGATCTATGGTAAAAAGTCTGAATGCCATCGCCTCAAAATTTCAGCCAACCGTTGTGGAAAGAATGACCGAATTTAATTCCATGCGGTCAGAGCCTTTCCTCTGTGAATTAATGGGGCTAATATCCTGGCATGAAAGGGGAGCTCTCTGGTAGTTAAGGGAGAAATTGTGGGGCTTAAGTGGTAGGTGCTGCCTTCCGAAAAGCGCCGGCCTCTGGGGTTGGGAAGGTAGCGAAAACCGCATCACGAATCACAACACAGATCAGTCACAACATTAAAACCACCAGTCTAATATCATGTATGTCCCCTTTGTGTTGCCAAAACAGTTCTGATGTGTTGAGACATAGACTCCCCAAGACCTCTGAACGTGTCCTGTGGTATCTGGACCAAGACATTAGCAGCAGATCCTTTAAGTCCTGCAAGTTGCGAGGTGGGGCTTCCATGGATCAGATTTGTTGTTCCGGCACATCCCACAGATGCTCAATCGAATTGAAATCTGGGCAATTCGGAAGCCAAGGCAACACCTTGAACTTTTTGTCATGTTCCTCAAACCAATTTCTGCAGTGTGGTTATCAGTGAACACCATAGCCATGAAGAGGTCTACATAGTCCACAACAATCTCTAGGTAGGTGGTACTTGACAAATTAACATCCTCATTCATTCCAGGACTCAAGGTTACCCAGCAGAACATTGCCCAGAGCATAACACTACCTTTGCCGGCCTTCTTCCCATGTGCATCCTGCTGCCATGTATTTCCCAGGTAAACTAAGAACCTGGCCAAAAGAGAAACCTGATTCATCAGACTAGGCAACCAGGTCTTATGCTCACATCATTGAAGGCTCTTTCGGTGGTGAACAGGGGTTATAATAGGTACTCTTAGCGGTCTGTGGCTTCATAGCCCAATTTTGAGCAAACTGAGATGCACGCTAGTTTGAGCTACAGTAGCTTTTCTGTATGATCGGACCAGAAGGGCAAGTCATTCATTAACCTTGTGCATTAATGAGCCTTGGGTGCCCCTGATGCTGGTTCATCGGTTGCCCTTCTTTACACTTTTGATAGATATACCGGGAACACCACACAAGAACATATTTTGGAGATGCTTTGACCAAGTCATCTAACCCTTAATAGTTGGCTTTTGCCAAAGTTACTCAGATCTATTTTGTTTGCCAATTTTTCCTGCTTCCAACACATAACAATTCAAGAACTTGCTGCTTAATGTATCCCCAGCCCAATTTTTTTGAGGAAAAAATTAATAAATCAAATCTACTGACATGGTAAGAACTAATGATGATGGTGTGAAAGAAAAAAAAAACAATTTGTGTCTGTGTAACAGCATAAATTGGAGTAGAACCCCCGTAAAATGGTTGTTTCTTGATCCGTCCAAAAATGTTTTTTTTGTTTGGGAGCTTTGGCAAAGTTGGTGTAAGTGGCACTGGCAACTAACCACCTCACCAGTCTCACATTAGTATTAATGACAAATGCTATTTCCCACCCACGCACAACAATGGTAAAACACACAATCACTTCCGGTCTGTCTTTCTCAATAGCTGATGTCAAAGTGTATGGATGAATCTTTCCTGGAAATACATAGATTTTTCTTTATTTGTTTACTGCTCCTTTTTTTTGTATATTGGCCACTTCTCTCTTGAATTGTGAATAAAATCAACATTTAGTGGCTGTCTCCTACCCATTAATCAACCTTGTATACGTTTTGTCTATCATGGCAAACTAATCGGCTTATTTGCCCCCAAATCACCTTCTCAATTCCCTCTCCCTTTTTTTGGCACCACGGACGGAATTCAAGATGCACACTTAATGTTACTCCTATGTCCTGTTTCATTTCTTTCAGGGTAATTCCATATGATATTTTGGAGTTGTGTAATATGTGGGAATCGCTGTTAGCTCAAGATTTGGACAGATCATGATTAGTTTGATCCTGTAATGTTATATGTATATACTAGACTTTTTTGCTGAATATAAAATATTTTTTTGGATGGCTGAATTTCAGCCAGATGGAGGTTCGGCTCAGCCAAATTTTGTTAATGGAAAAAGGTTTGGGAAAACTAATTTGACGAACGGAAAGGGCATGAAAAAGGGCTAATCAGTGTACTACAACAGTAAACATAATATTAATGTAATGTATATATTTTACAGTTTGCTAATAGGAAAATCTAACCAATACAGGGAAAAAGACAATGAGCAGTAAAAAATAAATAAATCTTTTTTCACTGCTCCTCCTCCCCCCCACCCCCTCTATTGGTCACTTCTTACTTGATCTGTGAATAAAATCAGCATTTAATGACTGTCCCCTAGCCATCACTCTGAATCAAAATTCAGAACAAACAAACTGAGCTGTTAGTGTGTTTGGTTCGTGATTTTGCTACATTTTCAGTCAGACTTCAGTAATTAGATTGATCACCCGATCAGCCCATATTCGTACGATTTGCAGTTCATAATGAATCGAATATCCTCTAGTATGTATCCCATTGATTTTATTTTAATTTGACCATTATTTAAAGGGACACTATAGCCACCGGAACAACTACAGCTTGTAACGGACCGTTTTGCACACAAGGGGTAAAAACCGTTTAGGCGATCGGCCCCCTTTCCAGAGATCCAGGCACAGCTACTGCAGAACACCAAAACTCACGAACTGGATACAAAATAGCACTCCAACTCCCGAACTGGAACCTCCCAAATAGCTGCTAGCAGACGAACAGGAAAAGCAGGCGAACAGCTTACACTCCTGGCAATCAGTCTCTAACAGCATACAGTGAATCCCCCCAAGAACGAGACAAGGCTCCGTGTTGAGGGTCAAGCAGTGGTCTGAGGTGCTGGCACACCCAGCCTGGTTTTTATTACAGTCTTGCAAATACAGGACCGCCCACAGGGAGGTATAAAACAACCAATCACATCACAGTTACATCCCACATATTCCCTCCCCTTATCCTGAGAGGAAACTCAATTATACATACAGTTAAAACATACTTTCTACCCAACTCTCATAACTCTAAAACCATACATCACATTCACATAAAATTACACATTCACAATCAATCCATTCAGGGGAACAACATATTCAAAAATGGCACAAATCAGACAAGGGGTTCAAAAGTTAGTAAAAAGTCCTTTGTGACTAAATGAAGCATGGCTTTCTGGCCCAAACCAGTTTCAGAGTCTTCTATCCTGGAGATAAGTAATTCAATTATCTCCCAGGACAGACACAAGACTCCATTAAGCACATGGTTGCAAAAGACACAAAACACTTTAAAATACATAAAGTCACCTTTTATACATAAAACACAGACATTTCACATATCCCCAGATAGCTCAGGTCTGAGCGCACATTATTAAGTGAATGGCGCTCAGACCACACAAATACAGTTTAATCGCCATGGAGCCAAAGTCTTTACAGTCAGTTTCATACGAATGGGCTCCATGGGATTCCTATCTGGGGTATAACACATTCAACCAAAACTACCGAACCCCAGGCAGAAAAGCACGAATGAAGCTTTTCTGCAGGTAAAAAAGATGTCTTTTAACAGGGGACCATAGTCCAAAGGCAGCAGGCGAGCAACCAGGCTTCTCCAATGCAATGTGGCGAGATTGGTCTCGTCACACAGCTTATTGAATTTGTTCTGGTGAGTAGAATCATTACCTTCAGGCTTTTTGCTGTAAACACTGTCTTTTCAGAGAAAATGCAGTGTTTACATTACAGCCTCTTGATAACTTCACTGGCCATTCCTCAGATGGCTGTTACAGATCCTTCCTGGGCCATGGCTGTCTAAAATGCATCCAAACATTCAGTATCTCCTCCCTCTGCATGCAGACACTGAACTTTCCTCATAGAGATGCATTTCTTCAATTCATCTCTATGAGGAGATGCTGATTGGCATGGGCTGTGTTTGAATCATGCTGGCTTTGCCCCTGATCTGCCTCTTTGTCAGTCTGAACCAACCCTATGGGGGAGCATTGTGATTGGATCAGGCTACCACGTCTGCTGATGTCAACAGGCAGTGGGCAGGTCTAAAGGAAACAGGGACAAAATAAGCAGCTGCAGACTTGAATACAAGTAAGATTTTATATCTAAATATCTATATTTAGGGAGGCATGAGGGGACCAAGGTGGCTAGATGGTGGTTTTAACCCTATAGGGTCAGGAATACATGTTTGTGTTCCTGACCCTATAGTGCTCCTTTAATGCTTATATATTTAAAA